AAAAAAACAAAAAAACAAATTAACTAGCTAATTAAATTTAATAGCACTGTTATAAGGAAAATGTTAATTTCTCACCATTTTCTTGCTTGGGGGTTCTACAGCTTTTACCTGTGGTTCAGATCCATGCACCTCCCCACTGAAGACTATCCTTCTATCTTCAGACTGGCAGGGTACTTCCATAGACAGAAACCTTCTGGATGCCATAATACTGAACACTACCAGAATCGGCCATGGATTTACTTTGAGCAAACACCCAGCAGTTATGGCTTACTCCTTGAGAAAAGACATCCCCATAGAAGTCTGTCCCATCTCCAACCAGGTATGCATGACGCATGGGACTAATCCAGTATGGTCAGCTCCCCTAACTTCAACCTCTGCTCTGATTCCCAAACCTTTCCCTGTATAATTTCTCTCTCCTTGACTCATTTGTTTTCTCTCTTCCTCCACTCTGCCCCTCCTGTTATTTAAGTGCAGGCTTTTGCCTTGGCCACTCATACTAATAGGCAGCAGTGAGGGTCCCCATTGAGGTACGGTTTGGGGCACAGCTATGGACAAATCAAAAGGGATTTGAGGGCAGCCGGTGAGGTGAGCCTAGGATACTGCTGCTTTAAACCGTTTCTTGGGGTCCTTCATGAACCTGCTGTCTGGCTGTGTTCAGGAGAGCTGGTCTCAGCAGGACCCAGAGTGACTCAGACCGAATGTGTATGGTGCTGATGAAACTTGAAGAACAGCAAGAAGAGCCTGGGGACTGGCTTTGTCCCTGTGACTCCTTGTAACTCTGCCCAGAAGTCACCCCAATGTTCAGAATGGTGATAGGGATAAGAAGGAGCTGCCTATGCTCAAGGTCTCACCCCCGTTGTGCTGACTCTTTATGGATCAGAGCTTGCCCTTCTCCTTTGCCTCCTGTTGGGCAGGTCCTGAAATTGGTATCTGACTTGAGAAACCACCCTGTATCCACCCTGATGGCCATCGGGCAACCCATGGTAATCAGCTCTGATGATCCAGCTGTCTTTGGTGCAAAAGGATTGTCTTATGATTTCTACGAGGCCTTCATGGGCATTGGGGGGATGAGTGCCGACTTGAGGACCCTCAAACAGCTGGCCATGAACTCCATCAGGTGAGTGTCCTGCACACAGGCCAGGCTCCTGCCTCCCTCCAACCCACAGCTTGTGTTTGCCTCTCTAGAGGTCTCAGACAGACACCCCACTACAGCTTCTGTGGATCTGCTCCACATTACTGCTGTTTAGTTTTTGCTTAGGCACTGGGAGAGACGTGTTCTGTAAGGCCCCCATGTCCCCTCAGACTCCCGCCCCATCTGCTAACCCAGGCATCCTCAAACTACAGCCCACGGGCCACATGTGGCCCGCCTAGGACATTTATTTGGCCTGCCGGGTGTTTTTGCTGCCGCTGCCTGTCCTGCTTAGCAGCTGACTCGTCCCGGGGCCCACAGTCCGGCTCTCCAATGGTCTGAGTGACAGTGAACTGGCCCCCTGTTTAAAAAGTTTGAGGACTCTTGTGCTAACCCCTTCCCAGGGCTGACTAGGCTCCTCCTCTTCCCGTAGGTACAGCTTTCTGTCAGAGCCTGAGAAAAAGATTTTCATGACAACTTGGGAGAAGAGATGGAAAAAGTTCATAGCTGACATGGCTACAAAGTGAGGATAAGACAGCCACCCCCACACACGGTCTCCACTTCCTCTCCTTGGTCTTGACTCCACCTCTGTGTCCCTGGTGCATCAGCAGCCCCCCTGTTGACTGACCCATCAGAAACTCTCAGCCATCTGACCAAACTCATCTTTTGGAAACAGTCTTCTCTCTCCTCTGCAGTGACATCGGCCCTCTTGTTTTTTCCTCTCTCTCTCTCTCCAGCCATGGCCTCCCCAGCTCCTCGCCCTCTGAGCTCTGCGTTGCCGGATGTCCTCTGCGCACAGTCCAGTCTCTCTGATTCTCTCATCTCCTCTTCTCTTTCCCCCCTGCACTCTTTTCCTAGGCATTCTCTTCCAGGTCTTTGCTTTTAAATACCATTTATTTGTTGATGATCCCCAAATTTATTTATGTACCGGGAGAGCTCACAGGCATCTCAGAAACCAACTATGTATGTGCACTACTGAACTCTCTGTCTCTTCCCTTTGAACCTCTCTCTGGCCTTCCCCATCTTGGTAAAAGGCACCTCCATCCATTCTACCCAGTTGCTCAAAGCAGAAATTTTCAGTGACATGCTTGATATTACTCTGCCCTGCTCTCTCTATAAACATGTACCTTGAATCCATCCACGTCCCTCCATCTCCACTGCTGTGAGCGGAGTCCAGGCCACTGTCACCTTGGCCTGAATTGTGACCATAGCCTTCTAACCAATCTCCCCGTCCTTTGCTTCTTCCAATTCATTCTTTCATAGAGCATCAGGTAACTTACAATCAGTGCATGTAGAATAAACACTGAATGTCTCCACAGGGCATGTAGCATCCTGTATAATTGGGGTCCCTTCCTGCTCCATCCTGCCACAGACACCCCAGGGGCCCAGACCATGGCCACCCTGGCCCCTTGTTCCTCAAATGTCCCATGCTCTAGCCTGTGCCAGGGCTTTTTCTCATTCTCTCTGCCTGGAACATTCTTTCTTTTGTCTACTTCACTCCTGTGGACCCTTCAGGTTCATGTCACCGTCTCAGAGAGGTTTTCTCAATGCCCTGTCCTGTTACTCTCTCTCCTGGCACCTTGCACTTTACCTTCATGGCTCTAATCACACTTTAATCCTATATTTATTTCTGTGTTTACAGTCCCCCTGCCCAACAGACTGTAAGCTCCATGTGGGCAGGCACTCATGATTGTTTCTGATTGTTTCACACATGTGCAAACCCAGAGCCCTGCCCCAAACTTAGTTAGTACTCAATAAAAGATGCATTGAATTTCGTGGGGGTCACTTGTCTCTGTTGAGTTGGTTGCTGAGCATAAGAGAGTAGAGAAGAGTCTCCCCTCTGAAAGAAAAGAGACAAAAGGCCATGGGTGATCAGATTCTGGATCCCAGCCTGGTCTTGGGAGAAGGAAAGCCCCAAGCCAGTCCTTCCCCAACTAAAGGATGTGGAAGAATGGAAATATTCCCTAAAAGTCCCAGGTGGAGGCTTGGCGCCT